ACTTGAGCCAAAGTATCGCTACATAACTTGAGCCAAAGCATCACTACATAACTTGAGCCAAAGCATCGCTACATAACTTGAGCCAAAGTATCGCTACTTAACTTAAGCCAAAGTATCGCTACATAACTTGAGCCAAAGTATCGCTAAATAACTTGAGCCAAAGTATCGCTACATAACTTGAGCCAAAGTCGCTAACATGGTCGGCTAAAAGTATGTTTTCTTTTCATTGATTCACCATCAATTCATAAACAGCAATTCCACGCATTCTCTCAATACGATATGCTAGTTAAAGACTTATCCTTACCTTGGTGAGTGTTGGGTTTGGTCTTTGGTAACTTTGCAAGTTCCTCTGACACTGCCTCCAACTTTAGGATCTTTCCTCATTCCCACCACATAACAACAATGTTAGTCATTTATTCAAAATAACATATAAACAACTCATATTTCATCTTTAACCGTACAAGAGATTCACACATTTTCAATGTTTCCACAACTAATTCATTAAGAGTTTCCAGACATCTAAAACATAAGTAAGGACCCAAATTCTACCCTTGAAAATTTTTCCTTTATTTTAATTTCCTTCACGCATACATACATCCTATTACCTTAACCGCTCATTAGTCATTCCGTAAACTCTTATTTAAGATGTTATATTATAACACTCTTCATATGACAGAAAAACATAATTCATTCATATCATCCCCTAGGGTTACTAAGAACCCAAAGGACGTAATCCTCAAAAATAGCAGTACACATAATTACTAATATTCAATTATATGTTATCCAGGATTACAATCATGCAATTACACAAATAGTCATCTAAAGCACAAAACATAATACACAAAACGCACAAAGGAGTAAGTCATTAATTCAATAATCATCGTTGTTATATAATCCACATTTTAAATACAATATAAACATTAGAATGAAAACACATATTACAAATACAAGAAGAAAACCGTCCATATCTACTTTCTTTTACTTCCATATTATTCATATTCATCTTATAGTATATATATATCCATGATATATATATTCTATAGCATGCATATACATTCTTTCCAAATCTCTTTCTTTTCCTTATCTTTAATATTCACCCTATAGTATATATATCCCATAATATATATTCTATAGCATGCATATACATTCCTTCCAAATCTCTTTCTTTTCCAAAATCCATATTCATCCTATAGCATATATATCCCATAATATATATTCTACAACATGCATATTCATTCTTTCCAAATCTCTTTCTTTTCCACGAATCCATATTCATCCCATAGTATATATATCCAATAATATATATTCTATAGCATGCATATTCATTCTTTCCAAATATCTTTCTTTTCCACAAATCCATATTCATCCTATAATATATATATCACATAATATATATTCTATAGCATGCATATTTGTCGCAAGACCATACCATTGTTTCACAACAAAATCGTACTACGTAACTTGAGCCGAAAATGTCGCTTCATAATGGGAACCCATAGTCTCGCCTCATTAACCTGAGCCAGGGTGTCGCTACATAACTGGAGCCGTAGTATCGCCTCCTTAACCCGAGCCAGGGTGTTGCTACATAACTTGATCCCAAAGTCGCTAACCATCCATGGTCGGCGAAAAACATGTTTTCTATTCGTTGACACGTCAACAATTTACAATTAACCATTTCATACATTCCTTTATTATAAACATACTCATGCATGTTGATAATAAACAAATGACTTGCATTTCAATCCCTTTCACAACCGGAAAATCCGGACATTTTTCATTACGAAGTGCAATTAAAGACTTATCCTTACCTTAGTGAACGTTGGGGTCGGTTTTTGAGTACTTTACCAATCTCCTCCGCGGCTTCCACCAACCTTAGGATATTTCCTCATTCCCACCGAATCACACAAATATTAGTCATTTATCCCAAGAAGACTACATAAATAACTCATTTTGCATCTTTAACCACTTTTTCACTTTAGGGTTTTGGGGTTTTCATGAATCAACCCACCATATCTACTTTCTTTTACTTCCATATTATTCATATTCATCCTATAGAATATATATATCCATGATATATATATTCTATAGCATGCATATACATTTTTCCCAAATCTCTTTCTTTTCCTTATCTTTAATATTCACCCTATAGTATATATATCCCATAATATATATTCTATAGCATGCATATACATTCCTTCCAAATCTCTTTCTTTTCTAAAATACATATTCATCTTATAGCATATATATCCCATAATATATATTATATAGCATGCATATTCATTCTTTCCATATCTCTTTCTTTTCCACGAATCCATATTCATCCCATAGTATATATACCCAATAGTATATATTCTATAGCATGCATATTCATTATTTCCAAATCTCTTTCTTTTCCACAAATTTCGCCCAGGCGAGAATCCCAGGAAATCCTGGGAGCAGATACTAAGCCTCTCGCTTGGGCGAGGCCCTCTTGCTCAAGCGAGAAACACTCAATATACCCCAGATTCCTAGAATTTTCACCACACTTAGGAAAATAAAATTAGGGTGTTACACAATTGAACTGCCAAGTTCATATCCCTGAACACCTCAATTAGTTTCCCTTCATGAACCATTAAAGTCGACATATGTAAGGATTTCCGACTTAAAGCATCAACCACCACATTGGCTTTTCCCGGATGATACTACAGTCCAAAATCATAATCCTTAAGGAATTTCATCCACCTTCTCCGTCTCATGTTCAGTTCCTTTTGATCAAACAGATATTTCAAACTCTTGTGGTCGCTGTACACTTCGAATCTTACACCATAAAGATTGTGTCTCCATATTTTCAATGCAAATACCACTTCGGCTAGTTCCAAGTCATGTGTAGGGTAGTTTTGCTCATGCGTTCTTAACTGTCGTGAAGCATAGGCAACAACCTTTCCGTCTTGCATCAAAACACAACCCAAACCTTGTTTAGAAGCATCACAATACACACTGAAATTATGATCAGTACAAGGAAGAACTAACACTAGGGCCGTAGTCAACCTCATCTTCAACTCTTGAAAACTTTCTTCACAACTGATTGTCCACACATACGGTTCCCCTTTTCTGGTAAGCTTAGTCAAAGGTAGTGCCAACTTTGAAAAACCCTCTATGAACTTCCGATAATAACCTGCTAAACCCGGAAAACTCCTAATCTCAGTAACAAACTTGGGCACTGCCCACTCCATCACTACCTCGACCTTAGAGGGATCTACTGCCACCGCTTCCCTAGATATCACATGTCCAAGGAAGTTTACAGATTCCAGCCAAAAGTCACATTTCGACAACTTCGCATACAACCGATTCTTCCTTAGAAGATCTAGAACAACTCTCAGGTGTTCCGCATGTTCCTCTCGGCTTTTAGAGTATACTAGAATGTCATCAATAAATACCACTACGAATGAATCCAAGTACGGATGAAAAATCCGATTCATGTAGTCGGTAAATATCGCTGGGGAATTCGTCACACCAAAGGGCATCACCAAATACTCAAAATGCCCATACCTCGTTCTGAAAGTAGTTTTAGGGATATCCTCCGACTTAACTCTAAGTTGGTGATAACCCGACCGAAGGTCAATCTTTTGAAAATACAACCACTCCCCTCAACTGATCCATCAAGTCATTAATCCTAGGCAACGGATATTTTTTTTGACAGTGACCTTGTTTAACTGTCTATAATCACTGCACAACCTCATACGCCCATCTTTCTTCTTAACCAACAAAACTGGTGCACCCCACGGTGAGACACTAGGACGAATGAACTTCTTTGCCAATAAGTCTTCAACCTACTTTCTCAACTCAGTCACCTCTAACAGTGCCATCCTATAAGGATCTATAGAGATGGATCTCGTTCCAAGTACCAAGTCAATGGAGAATTCAACTTCTCTGACTAGAGGCAATTCCGGAATATCACCAGGAAATACCTTAGGGAACTCACGAACTATCGGAATATTATCAATGATGGGTTTCTCAATACCTTCTAGTGATGACAACAACACAAACACTGATCCCCCTTCCTTAAGGGAAGTAGTGACCCCCTTAGCCGACACTGGCTCCATATAACTAGCCTGGTTAGAAATCTCACATAGATCTCCAAACACCACATTCTTATCAGCACAATTAAGCATAACACGATTTGCTAACAACCAGTCCATTCCGAGAATTAAATATATCTGGGACAACGGTAAGCAGATTAAATCCATGGGAAATGTTCTACCATTTACCACTACCGGACACTGGGGCACGAACGTCGATACCACCACCGGCACCCTAGTTGAGGTGGATACGACCAAGTCGAAAGGCAACAACTCTGTTTGCAATTTCATTCGGTTCACCCATTCAACAGATACAAAGGAGTGTGTCGCTCTCGAATCAAACAACACTAAAAGAGGAATATCTGCCACCATACAATTACCTTTGATCAGGCCATCCACATCTGATGTCTCTGCACCACTCATGGTAAACACTCTGCCCGTAGATTGAGGTCGTTCAACCCTCACAACATTCACACTCTATCGTAACTTAGGACAATACCTCTTAATATGCCCGGTCTCCTTGCAATGAAAGTAGCTAAGTGTTATCCCTTGGCACAAATCACCGACATGAGTTCGACCACATTTGATGCACAAGGATAGAGAGTTTAACTGTTGTAAGGACCCGATTTTGTAACCCCAAAAATTTTAAAACTTTATTCATGAAGTCAAATGATTACTTTTGAAATATATTACTTAAACGATTTGGAAAACCTGTGAGCATACCAATACCACTTATGTTCATGATTCAAATGCGGAAATAATCAAAAGTATTCATTCATTAAAAACATACCATTACACTTCCTTTATCATACATATTATATACAATTATCCTTTCTCAAATAATATTTCCATTTAACCTCATCAAAATAACCTCATTATACATGTAGGAGAAAGTCACTTATACATAAATTCACTTAAACATGCTCTTCATATTACATGCCTTATTCAATTACAATGTCGTGTACTTAAAGTAACTACACTAATCGATGCCTCCTCCGCGAGCATCCAATGTACTACAGTCACCACCTGAATTCCAATACATAACACATACAAGCAGAGTCAAAAAGGGAGTAAGAACCAACTTCGGCAACCGTAGCGTGGAATTACATAGAGTAATAACATTAAAGTATTACACCCTACATAACTTCTAAAATCAACCATATTAGACATATACCAATCAATACAATAAACCATATAATGTTCATATATCCAATTAGCATAATCATCTATCTCACTTAGACAATTCAATCAAATCAATACAACATACCATAGGATATTCGTTCTTCAATCGATTCCTATAACCACATACTCATACCATTTATCCATTCAATCTTCATCAAGATTAGCACGCAATAGTCTTTTTTTTTTAAAAACAATCATCATGCTATATTCAAGGCTATATCATACTTACACAACATTACAATACTTTCCAAATGTAAAACCACTTTCAATACAACATTACACCACATAGGACTCACCTTACACCATCACATAGAGCCAATACCACAAGGGCAAGTCATACATCGCTATGAATAGCCAATACCACGAGGGCAAGTCATACATTACTACGAATAGCCAATACCACGAGGGCAAGTCATACATTGCTACGAATAGCCAATACCACGAGGGCAAGTCATACATTGCTACGAATAGCCAATACCACGAGGGCAAGTCATACATTGCTAAGAATAGCCAATACCACGAGGGCAAGTCATACATTGCTACAATAGCCAATACCATGTAGGGCAAGTCATTCAATTCAATGCCACGTAGGGTGTGACACCCTAAATTTAAAGTCCTTAAATTATAGTGTCAGTCTTGGGAGTCTCGCTTGAGCGACAAAAGTCTCGCCTGGGCGATAGAGGCTCACCTGGGTGAGTGAAATACTAGGCTATACTGAAGGATTCTCGCTTGAGCGAGAGGATCCTCGCTTGAGCGAGAGCTATCTCGCCTGAGCGAGAGTTGTCTCGCCTGGGCGAGAAGTGGCATTTTGGGCCTATCAAGGTTGTGAGATTATCGCTTCAGCGAGAGGGTCAGATCTGTGTTTTTAAAATGGGCGAGATTTTCTCGCTTGAGAGAGAACCTGACGCTGTTGCATTTAATATTGACCCCCAAACACATTTTTGGGGGATAACCTAGAGAGAAGTGAAGGAAGAGAGACTTTTCAAGAGCAATGAGTATTGGGAATCATCTAAGAGCTTGAGAAGAGGTAAAACTCTTGATTCTAACTCTCTTCTTTTCTTTGAAACTTGTTTTGGGTATGTTGGATCTCTTCTCAAAATGTGAGAAACCATGGAAACTCATCCTTTTGATTTATGGTTCGTTTTATGTTGTTTTTCTCTTGTAAACTCTTGGTTTATAGTTGGTATTCCAAGAATGGAAAGGGTTTTTGGGTTGATTCATGAAAACCCCAAAACCCTAAAATGAAAATGTGGTTAAAGAGGGAAATCGGTAAAATGTTAGATGTAGAAGATAAGTGTAAGAACCGAAATTCTACCCTTGAAATTTTTTTTTCTCAAATTAGTTCAATTACATGCAATCTCTCCTATCTCACCCTACCAATTTAATGTCTTTACTTCAAATCTTATTTCTCTTTTCGCAATCTATCTCATTATTAACGTACAAGATCGTTCAACAGAAAAAACATAATTCGCATTAATTAAACCTTATAACCACCGCATATAACTAGCTATGGGTTTCCAAAATACCCATAGCTACACATATCCAGAGTTACAGTTTCAATTTTACAAATATATCTATATCGTTAGTTACATCATATTTCAAAATATCAACTATGCACTCATATACAAAATAGTGCATGTGAATGAATCCAAAATGTAAAGCTCCCTAAGACTTCCCAAAAATGAGTCCCCCTCATGTCACCTATTTATCTACAATAGGATTATCGATGACAAGTACAAAACATACAAAGGAGTAAGTCATTAATTCAAATAAACATCATCATAAGATAATCCACATTAGAAATTGGGTTAGTAAACCATTTTTGAAATTCATTTTACTTTGCTACATAACTTGAGCCAAAGTCGCTACACCCCTCGAGGTTAGCTAAAAGTAGATTCTCATTTCCATTTTAAATAAAACATGCTTATATACTCAAGCCAGAGTTTTGCTTATATACTCAAGCCAGAGTTTTCCTTATATACTCAAGCCAGAGTTTTGCTTATATACTCAAGCCAGAGTTTTGCTTATATACTCAAGCCAGAGTTTTGCTTATATAATCAAGTCAGAGTTTTGCTTATATACTCAAGCCAGAGTCGCTAACCATTCATGGTCAGCTAAAATGTATTACCTTTTTATCAATTTCACCATAAAACATTTCAGGTAAATCCACGCCCACATTAGTATAAACACACCCATATATGTTTATATTAATTACGTGATTCACAACTCAAATCATCCCATAACCAAAAGTACAACATATTTTCCTTTCAGTAAATCTACGTCTACTTTAATATAAACACACCCATATATGTTTATACTAAATGCGTACTTTACATCTCGATCATCGCATAATTAGAAAGTACACATATTCGATTCCAAATGCACAATTAAAGACTTATCCTTACCTCGGTGAGTGTTGGGTTTGGTTCTTGGCAACTTCTCAAGTTCCACCGACACCGCCTCCAACCTTAGGATCTCTTCTCAAGCTCTTAGATGAGTATCCAAGCTTTTTGTCCTTGAAAAGCTCTCTTCTCCCACTCTTCTTCTTTTCTAAACCCTAGATTGTGTTTAGGGGTTTCTCATTAAATGTTGTCTCATCGGGTTCTCGCTTAAGCGAGGGATTGTCGCTCAAGCGAGAAAATCCCACCCATTTTAAAAACTCAAATCTGACCCTCTCGCTCAAGCGAGGGATTCTCGCTCAAGCGAGAATCTCACAGTGCCTACAGCCCAAAATGATATTTCTCGCCCAGGCGAGAATCTTCCAGTATACTCCAGGGTTTCACCGTCCTAGGTGAGCCTCTCTCGCCTAGGCGAGAATCTCTCGCTCAAGCGAGGATCCTCCAGTGTAGTCCAGTATTTCACCCTCCTAGGTGAGTCTCTCTCTCGCTCAAGCAAGAATCTCTCGCTCAAGCGAGGGTCTCACGACTGATACTATAATTTTAAAGGCTTAAAAAAATTAGGGTGTTACTGTAACACCCTAATTTTGAGTCTTTAAAATTATAGTATCAGTCCTGGAAGTCTCGCTTGAGCGAGAGATTCTCGCCTGAGCGAGAAAGGATCACTTGGGAGGGTGAAATCCTGGGCTATACTGGAAGATTTTCGCCTAAGCGAGAGTTGCCTCGTCTGGGCGAGAAATGGCAAACTGGGGTTGTTCACACTGTGAGATTCTCGCCTGAGCGAGAATCCCTCGCTTGAGCGAGAGGAAGCCTGTTAGGACTGTGAGATTCTCGCTTGAGCGAGAATGCCTCGCTTGAGCGAGAGGGTCAGATCTGAGTTTTTAAAATAGGCGGGATTTTCTCGCCTGAGCGAGAATGGGCTCGCTTGAGCGAGAACCCGATGATTGCTCTATAAAATAGAAACCCCAAACACATTTTAGGGTGAGAACTTCGAAGAGAAGAGAGAGAAGAGAGCTTTTCAAGAGCAAGGAGCCTTAGGACTCATCTTAGAGCTTGAGAAGAGGTAAACCTCTTGCTTCTAACTCTTCTTCTTCCTCTCTAACTTGTTTTGGGTGTGTTGGATCTATTTTCAAAACATGAGAAACCATGGAAACTCATTCTTTAGAGTTATGGTTCGTTTTATGTTGTTTTTCTCTTGTAAACTCTTGGGTTAGAGTTGATATTTGATGAATGGAAAGGTTTTGTGGGTTATTCATGAAAAACCCCAAAAACCCCCCAAAATGAGAATATGAGTATAAAGAGAAAGAGATGAAATGTTAGATATGGATGATGAGTTTGTGCTCTGATGTTGATATATGAGATAAACATGTATGTTTAGATGTTCGGAAACTTGTAGTGAAGTAGTTTTGGAAATCTTGAATATATATGAATCCCTTGTATATTTGATGATGAAATACGAGTTATTTATGTGTTATTTTGAATAAATGACTGACATGGTTGTTATTGGTGAAAATGAGGAAAGATCCTAAGGTTGGAGGAAATCGCGGAGGAGACTTTTAAAATTACTCGGAACCGATCCCCAACGCTCACCAAGGTAAGGGATAAGTGTCTCTAAATCATACTTGCTGATATGAATGAGGTATGTGAAAGAGGTAATGATTTAAAATGATACGACTGTAATTTATGCATTATGTTGGAAAATGCGTGACTTTTCTGTTATGGGAAAGGAAATCAATATTATTGGGGGAGTACCAATGGAAATATGACTCAAGGAAATCAATATTATTGAGGGAGTACCAATGGAAATATGAGTCAATGTAATCAATATTATTGGGGGAATACCAATGGAAATATGACTCAATGAAATCAATATTATTGGGGGAGTACCAATGGAAATATGACTCAAAGGAAATCAATATTATTGGGGAAGTACCAATGGAAATATGACTCAATGAAATCAATATTATTGGGGGAGTACCAATGGAAATATGACTCAATGAAATCAATATTATTGGAGGAGTACCAATGGAAATATGACTCAAGGAAATCAATATTATTGGGGGAGTACCAATGGAAATATGACTTAATGAAATCAATATTATTGGGGGAGTACCAATGGAAATATGACTCAAAGGAAATCTATATTATTGGGGGAGATCCAATGGAAATATGACTCAAAGTGAAATCAATATTTATTGGGGGAGTCCCAATGGAAATAAGACTCGGAATAATGAAAGTCATATGCATGCTATAGGATATATATAGTATGGGATATATATTCTATAGGGTGAATATGAATGCTGAGAAATGTGAATGTCACATGAATGTCGTATGCATGCTATAGGATATATAGTATGGGATATATATTCTATAGGGTGAATATGAATGATGAGAAATGTGAATGTCACATGAATATTGTATGCATGCTATAGGATATATTGTATGGGATATTTATTCTATAGGGTGAATATGAGCGACAAAAAGGAAGATGTTGAGAAAGAAAGTAATATACATGCTATAGGATATATATTATGGGATATTCGCTGAACACTTCCAATACCTCACCACACCGATTTCACAGCTCGATTAGAGCAGGGATTTTATGGATGCACCATTGTATATAAGAATGTGGCACATACCTAAGGTAGATTTAGATACCTATAAGTATGGTGTCATCTTTCGATTATACGATGTTGTCTGTATGCTTCTTAAGGAAGATCTTAGATGTCTTCCTGTAGTTGATGTGACCACTCGACATGATGAGAGTTGTTGCCAACTCAACATCTCGTCTGGTGTTGATGTCACAAGCAACCACAGTGATGTCATTTATGTTCTTCCAGGAAGTACATGCAGGGACCTAGCTGTCCGCGGTTCTTATCCATTAGCTATCAAACAAACTCGAGTACATTGTTTATATAACATCTAATGTGTATAAACAAGAATGCTCGTGTGTTCGATATCTATGGAACAAGTTACTTGCGGTCATCTGGCCTTCTAGGGACTCCTTTTATGGGGAATACACACAGAAGCAATGGCCCCATCAATTACTCCTCATCGCCTGTGGAACCCTCTTCTAGATCATACTTATTTCCTCTAATTTTAGTCAAGTTCTATTAGACTATGCTTGACCGGGATATAGAGGAGAGCTAGTATGGACAAAAGTGGAGGTTCTTTCTCAGGGCGTAAGGAATAGCACGCAAAAGACAGCCTGGAAAGATAAAGACAGGATTTCATAATCTAATTTAAAGCGGTGGATGAGCGGTAATGGCTGGGGAAGGGGGCAAGTACATCCTTTTGTTCTCAGTTTGTGGGAATTGCTTCCATCACTAACCAGTTCAGCTCGGCTAGTGGGCTTGGGTCGTGCTAAGCCCACAAGATCTTAAGCTAGTGGTTGTTTTTCTTCCAGTTAGGCGGCTATAGGAAATATCCCTTAGTTTAATTAGTCTCTCCAACCAAAAAAACTAGTCAAAAGCCTTTTTTTTTAGTTTCACCTGAATATAAAGAGACCTTCTATTGGGAGGACTACTCTTGTTGCGTAAGCCGCCTTGCTCTAATCTTTGAATCATCTCTTCTCCTTTGCCAAAGAAGCGCCACTCACGATAGACCTGCAGACATAGGAGCAAAAGGTATCCCTGCCAGTCTTTCTTTGCATCACAATGAGTAGGTCAAAACCTTTTTCAAAGGTATAAAATAAAACAGTAGACCTTTAGGAGAGGAAGGACTAGCCCAGAACCTATTATTGACCTGGCCGAACCCTAACTACCATCAAAAGGAAGTAAGATGTCCGCCTTTTAAGCAGCTCTTTCGAGACAAGTCTCAGATCTTTAAAGGAATTAAACTTGAACTACTAGCCCTGGAACGGGGGAAAAATATTCCCATCTCCCTTACCGGACAGAAAGGAAGGAAGGCATGTGAGGTCTGGTTTTTGAGCAGGGAAAGGTGGGAACGTTAGAAGACTAGATAGGGATTAGGGCGTTAAGCTTAAGAAAAAGTAGTTGATACGAATAAGACCCTCCGTGTCTGGTACTACACCTGCAGCAAGCACATTCACTCGCTAGCACTATGTTATAGGGTGAATATGAATAACGAGACAGATGATGTTTCGAACGAACATAATATGCATACTATAGAATATATATTATGGGATATATATGTTATAGGGTGAATATGAATAACGAGACAGATGATGTTTCGAACGAACATAATATGCATACTATAGAATATATATTATGAGATATATATACTATAGGATGAATATGAGTAAAGTGGAAATTAAAGGAAGGTGATTTGAATGTTTACAATTCTGTATGTGTGTTTACGAATTATATTAAAGCTTAATTGTATTTGAATGTGGATTATCATGTGATGTTAGTTTTGGACTAATAACTTACTCCCTTTTGTTTGTGTGTTGTTTATGATAATCCCATTGTAGGTAAATGAAAGATTTTGAGGATGAAGTTCAATTAGGAAGCTTTTGTGTTTATTTACTCGATTGTCTTTATTGCTATTTGACATTGTAGTTGATTTGATAGTATTTTGGGATAAATGTAAATCTGATTAGGATAATATGGTGACATGTAGTTATGGACGTTATAACCCTGAAGAACCCATAACTAGATGTATGTGGTAAATGCTATCTAAATGAATTATGTTTTTCCGCAACATAAATTTGTATGATAACATAATAGGGTAAAAAGTATTTTCAAAGAGTGATACTTGAGAGTTTTCAATGAAGGTGATGACTGTATATAAGAAAGAATTAAAATAAATAAAAAAAATTCAATGGTAGAAAATCGGGTCGTTACAGTTACAATAAGTATTCATTTCAATGTTGAAATATGAGATGAATATGTATGTTTTAGGTGTTTGTTGTCGCGACCCGATTTTCGGTTGGAAGACTGGCCCTGCGACTTAGTGAGAGGCGAACTCGATTTCCACCTCTTCCAATTGTTTTAGAGTCGCCACTACGTTTTTTGCGGTTAAAACGTAAAAAACTCTAAATATGCCCAATTAGGATAATTTGATCTTTAATCAAAATTTCTGAGCTCGGGAGTCGATTACGGATCGGGGAAGGTATTAGCACCCGTCCGCCCGTATTAAAACGGTACCCTGACTAATAACATGGAATTTTATACCCTTAAAATTATTTATTGAAATTCAGTATTAAAATGCAAAATGTTTTATTTTTTATTGTTGTGCCTGACAAAAGTTGATCTTGCTCCTACGTATCCCTAGGTGTAATAGGGAAATCAAGGCTACGTAGTTCTGGTTTGAAAGTTAATTGGTATTGGTTTAGTTGGTTTGAAACGTCGATGTAAATTGTATTCTCTTTAAGAAAAGATGAAGCAGCAGAAACTAATTTTCGCACCGTATCAAATCTTAAAGAGATTTTGAAATATTAAAATACTTTGTTGAAATCTATTTAATTTTAAGATAAATAATATTTTTGAAATAATTAAAATGTATTCTTTGAAACTCATTTATTCTTTAAGATAGATGAAGTAGCAAGAACTAATATCCGTGCCGCATCATATCTTAAAGAATATTTTTTTTGAAATAATTAAAACACATTGTTTGAAATTTATTTATTTTTAAGATATATGAAGTAGCAAGAACTAATGTCCGCGCCGCATCATATCTTAAAGAATATTTTTGAAATAGTTAAAATGCATAGTTTGAAACTTATTTATTTTCAAGATAGATGAAGTAGCAAGAACTCGCGCCGCATCATATCTTAAAGAATATTTTTGAAATAGTTAAAATGCATAGTTTGAAATTTATTTATTTTCAAGATAGATGAAGTAGCAAGAACTAATGTACGCGCCGCATTATATCTTAAAGAATGCTTTTTGAAATAATTAAAATATGATAGAAATTTATTTACCTTTAAGATATATGAAGTGACAAGAACTAATGCCCGCACCGCATCAAATCTTAAAGAATGTTTTGAAATAATTAAAAATGTCGTTGAAATTTATTTACCTTTAAGATAGATGAAGCAGCAAGAATTAATGCTCGCACTGCATCAAATCTTAAAGAATGTTTTGAAATAATTAAAAATGTCGTTGAAATTTATTCACCTTTAAAATAGATGAAGCAGCAAGAACTAATGTCCGCACCGCATCAAATCTTAAAGAGATTTTGAAATAGTTAAAAACATCGTTGAAATTTATTCACCTTTAAGATAGATGAAGCAGCAAGATCTAATGTCTCCACCGCATCAAATCTTAAAGAGATTTTGAAATAGTTAAAAACATTGTTGAAATTTATTCACCTTTAAGATAGATGAACCAACAAGAACTAATGCTCGCCCTGCATCAAATCTTAAAGAATGTTTTGAAATAATTAAAAATGTCGTTAAAATTTATTCACCTTTATGATAGATGAAACAATAGAAAATAATATTCGCACCACATGAAATCTTAAATAGATTTTGGAAATGACTTAAAATATAGTTGAAATTTTATCATCTTTAAGATAGATGAAGCAGTACAAACTAATATCCGCACCGCATCATATCTTAAAGAATTTTGAAATACCTTGAAATAATTGAAACTATTGAACATTATATGTTATTATAGCAACCAGGTAATAAAATAAACAATGGGAGGGACCCACTTACTCCAAGAGTAAGTGGAAAAACACTTACTCCACATCATGATCATTCATTCTTGGAAATTCAATGGTTTGAATTGGTGAGTACATCTAAGCCATTGAATTTTTCAAGATTAGATGGCTAAGATGAAGAGTAAGTGTTTCTTGGAGTAAATGGATCCCTCCCTAATAAACAAATGTATATATAATAAAGGAACAGTGAATAATAACAAAGGAACGCGAAATAAAATATATGGTGTGAACCTCACATACCATTTGCCGTGGTAGTTTCTCAAAGCTGAAACTCAAATCTTCATCTTCCAATAAGTGAATGGTTCAATGCTATCACGTAAAAGTCTAAGGATAGCATGAATCTTTCTTCAAATCTTTCCACATATTCATCATGATTAAATGAGTTTAAAAGACACGGTGGGATATCTTTCTTCATTTACCCACGTCTTCAAACTTCTTCAATATATTAGGTTCCATCAATTACTTCTGACAAACCACATGCCTCCTTTGAATTCTCTTTATTCAGAAGTCCTCCAGCTCCATCCACTAGTATCATCAACCCAATGATGTGACCACCATATGAGGTTAACTGAAATTTTGCCATTGAAAAGAGGGTCCTTAAGGTATGTGAACAATTATAGTGGTCTGAGTCACTTAGTATTCTTGCTGCCCTCTCTATTAGAATGAAAAAGAGAGACTATCCCCAATAATCCTCAGAGAACCCTCAGATATATAAGAGAAGACGTTTTCTGTACCGAGAGATAGAAGGATACAATGTAGTAATTAATTGTAAGGTGAGGTTGAAGAGAACATGAGTATGAGAATGTGAGAAAAAAATGAAGAGAGCCTCTCCCCTCTCTCCCCTCTAAAAATTTCTCAAAATATCACCTTCTAAGGAGTCTAAGTACGTTGAAATCTTTATCAATCCTGCAACCGAGAGTTTAGGAAGAAGCAATGGGTTTAGTGGGTGACGGTTTCTGGAGAGGAGAAGGCGGAAACAAAAAAAAAAACGAGAGGGTGGCTGTGTTAGCTGCTATGCTTCTTAGGGTTGGGGCCGGGTGAAATTTGATACCCTCTGTCCTTTTCTTATTTTTTGAGTTGGGGGATAAAATGGAGTTATGTATGGTATGGAAATGGAGATCAAGAAGGAAAATGAGGCGTCAACCCTCCACCATCTTCACCGTTTTACATTGCTTTTTATGTACTTTTACGTTACCTCCTTTGCTTTCATGAGATTGTGATTGAAATTTTAATTGCCGTAGTGATAGTAATAAGGATGACCACACAGTAAAAAAAACTAAATGTCGCTACTTCGAGGCAATTTATTATGATTCACCATAAACATGAATTTGTTTTTTATCCCTATGATTTCATCATATAAACAAAAGCATGAACATAGATCCCTTTTTAAAAAATGATTAGCATGTAGCCTCGTACGACACTTTTAATAAAACCGATTATCGGATTAAATATAGTAACGATAGGTAACCCAAATTATTTTGTTAATCGACAGGTTATAGATAAGAACATGATTCTTTGAAACATATAAAAAGATGTTATTTCCAAGATTTTTTGAAAACTTTTAGACGTTTTGAAATTTTTTATTTTATAAATAAGCCGGACTGGTATGTATGCAATTCCATTAACGTATCCAATTTGTACATAGCTTGTCATGTTCCAAGGCACATCATTTAGCAAACATTGGGTATCATTGCTATAATGTTCATGAAGAATTTAGAATGATTTGAAGATACTGTTCACATAGCAAAGCTTTTATTGCTAGAGTTCGTACAATTAATTGAGTTTCCATTAACCAAACAGTACAACGTATAGAAAACTATATCATACTTTGCTCATGCATTTGGATCCAAAGATGATGATGAGACACAATAATGTTATTGCATATTCTGCTGTTATCATGGTCCACGTTCTGTTTTCGTTCATTTATTCTCTGTTGATGGAAAAGTATTGGAACTTCAAGAATCAACTTTTTAGACGTGTTCCAATTTGGTTGTAGCATAATTGTCATGGATGCAGATATATTGTGGCTTGGAAAGCCTTTTTCAAAATTCAGCCCATCAAAGCTAACAGGTTACAATTACCTACAGGAAATTCAGCAATTAGTGACTGAATTAATTTGATGATAACTTTTGCAAATCAATAATTAAATCAGGAAGGAAACAGTCCAGCAATAAGGAGCAATTATGAGGAGAATAACCAGCCATTTTCTTTAACAATTATGCTTCATGCAATAATAGGCAGCCAGAGTAAATAGGGGAGTATGAATAGGTAATCAAAACAAAAGCCAATCATAAATTAGGAGATGCTCCAGCCGAGAAACACAATATTTTCAAGAAAAAATCAGGCAGTTACGCTTCAGCTTTATGAGTAGCATCAATGGTAGCAATTATGAGCAATTGAAGAGAATAATGAGGAAAGCAAAGGGTCATGGCATTACTGACTTTCAAAGCTAACAGCTAGGTGCTATATGTAGGCACACAAAAATCAGAAAATGGGGTTCTCCCCTCAAAAAAGGTTCCAATACTACAACACTTCTATACTCCAAGTTTCTCAACTAACCCTATTATATCTAGCTTCCTCTCTTTATCCTATCAACACACAGAAACAGTACGTACCCATTTCCACCACACAATTCCACTAGAATATATACATATCACATATACATCTACAACTAAAACCACCTACCTATACACAACAAAACCGAAATTAAAGAGGGAAATTCATTAGACCCCACAACAGATCAGAAAGATACAACAGAGAACTTAGAGAAAAAAACACATGTATCAACCAGGAGAACACACCTTCACTTACTCTCACATCACACACATGAGTCTAGGGAGCACCACCACATAATACACATACTAATATCACAACAACCAGATAGAACACATACACATACATCATGTGCAGCAGCCGAGACACTAAAAGCTAAATAAAGGAAGATTGGTAGCAAGAAAAGACAGCAACGTCAAGGTTACACACAAGCAGTCAATACAACCTGATTTAACAAACCCATTCATCACAACAAGCAGAGGAATCCAAATTCAGTAATCCTAGCGTCTTCGAAAGCAAGGTAAAGGTCAAGCACTGAAGGTAACACATCCGTAGTTTGTTAATAATAAAAGATGTTTTGCATGAAACCTCTGTTTTAATAATGTAATGAAAACTTACATTCCTAGGAGATATATGAGATATATGTGTTACCTTAAATACGCTATGTTATGGTGAATTACATGATCATTGTCGTAATATTGTATGGTTAATCAAATCTTATGAAACTCAGTTGCTTATTCAAGCTCGCCTAACCACACGCATAGAATTAAAATACGAAGCATAATCGCACAAAAATAGATAAGCCAAAAACAAACAATATAGGGATTAATACATAAACAGAAAGGGTTAGAGTTGGTTACCGAATCCATTCCAACATACATCGAGTGTCAAAACTACGAACTGCTTAACCTTCAAATCGAGGCAGAAGAGAATTGTGAGCCGTCACTGCCAGCGTCCTCGCCATAGGAAAGCCGCTGCTATTACCGGAGGCCGAAGAAACAAAAGATTGGGGGGTTAGGGATTTGAAACCCCTTTCCAAGGAATGAAATTGAGAAGGAATGAGGACGTGGTCAAAGCATGGTCAAAGTTTCTTTAAGATGTGATGCGGTAAGGGCATTAGTCTTGTTACTTCATCTATCTAAAAAATAAATAAATTTCAAACGATATATTTCTAAAATATTCTTTAAGATGTGATGCAATGTGGAGATTAGTCTTGCTACTTCATCTATCTAAAAAATAAATAAATTTCAAATGATATATTTCTAAAAATATTCTTTAAGATGTGATGTGGTGCGGGCATTAGTCTTGCTGCTTCATCTATCTAAAAAATAAATAAATTTCAAACGATATATTTCCAAAATACTCTTTAAGATTTGATGCGGCGCGGACATTAGTCTTGCTACTTCATCTATCTAAAAAATAAATAAATTTCAAACGATATATTTTCCTAAAAATATTCTTTAAGATTTGATGCGGCGCGGGTATTAGTCTTGCTACTTCATCTATCTTAAAAATAAATAAATTTCAAACAATGCATTTTAATTATTTCAAAAATATTCTATATCTTAAGGATAAATAAATTTCAACAAAGTATTTTAATTACTTTCAAAATCTCTTTAAGATTTGATACGGTGCAGACATTAGTTTCTGCTGCTTCATCTTTTCTTAAAGAGAATACAATTTACATCAACTTTTCAAACCAACTAAACCAACACTAATTAATTTTCGAACCAGAACTACGTAGCCTTGATTTCCATATTGCACCTAGGGATATGTAGGAGCAAGATAAACTCTTGTCAGGCACAACAATAAAAAATAAAACATTGTGCTTTTTATTACCGAATTTCAATAAACAATTTTAAGGGTATAAAAGTCCATGTTATTAGCGAGGGTACCGTTTTAATACGGGCGGGCGGGGTGCTAATACCTTCCCCGATCTGTAATCGACTCCCGATCTCAGAATCTCTGCTTAAAGACCATTTTATCCAAATTGGGCTTACTAGAGAGTTTTCTATGTTTTGTCCGCAAAAAACGTAGTGGCGACTCTAAAACAATTTGAAGAGGTGGAAATCGAGTTCGTCTCTCTCTAAGTCGCAGGGCCGGTCTTCCAACCGAAAATCAGATCGCGAAAGTTGGCGACTCTGCTGGGGAAAACCCTTAAGAGAGTCAGACCCAAAGTCGCTAACTACATGGATTAATACCCTTTTGTTTTCTTTCTTTCTTTTCTTATTGTTTAAGTTAAGAAATTATTATTTATTATATTTCTTTATTCACTTATTTGTGTTACTGTGGTTTTACAGTTTTTGGGGTGTGGGTTTATTTTATTTGCAAGAGAAGGTTTGTACGCTTCCTCGCACACTACACACTTGATGGTTAGAGAAGAAAAACTGATTGAAGAGTTCAGGGATATGAACTTGGAAGTTCAGATAAAGCCTCAAAGTATGATTTTAGGAATGCTTAAGGTCACAAATGAATTGTTCGATCAAATCTGGGTAATGCAAGTGGAGGATAGGAAGCTAATGGCTAAACGGGATTTAATGCTAAGTGGTAAGGAAACTAATTTCTCATCGGACCCTAGTGGACTGTTGCGTTACAAATGGAGAGTGTGCGTGCCTCATAATGTGAAATTACAAAAGAATATTTTAGAGGAGTCAAACAAGAGTAAAATGAGTTTTCACCCAGGGGACTACAAAGATGTACCAAGATTTAAAAAAGCTGTTTTGGTGGTCTGGGCTGAAAAAGGATGTAGCTTTGTATGTCTCGAGTTGTCTTGTCTATCAAAAAGCCAAGATTGAGCATCAACGGCCAGCGGGAGAACAGCAATCCCTGGAAATTCCCGTTTGGAAATGGGATAGTATCTCCATGGATTTTGTATCGGGTTTTCCAAAGACTCGGAAATGGTATGATTCGATATGGGTGATAGTAGATCGGTTAACTAAATCTGCACACTTTTTGCCTATGAACATGAGGTATTCTTTGGAGCGATTTGC